TGTTTTTCTGTTGCTGAGCTTTCTCTGTGTCAACTATGGTCACCATTTTTCAAACTTACATTTCTGTCAGTCACCGGCATGATCATGATACATAATGGCTTTGGTGAAAAGGAACTAGAATCAGCCCGCCATTGTAGATGATGCTGTATTAATCAAAGTTTACTTAGCTGTAGGATTCACTTCATGTTCTTTCTATTAAGTTTCTGTTATGTTTAAGTAAATTAGATATGGCAGTTTGTACAACAGATTTTCTACAAAAGGTAATGAAAATCCTCCTTTGAGATTAAAGCCAGTTACAAATAAATATTTTTTAGAACCATTGTTATTGAAAATGAAAAATATTATTTCTGTCTCCAGGATGTGTTTTTAGACTACTGGTTTGTGTTCTGATCCTATTCCTCAGGCTCTTCCCTTCATTTCTCTTTTGAAAGGGTTATTTATCCGGTGTTCTGACTGAGTGGTGAAAGACATGAGGTGAAATTTGTGTGGAGTTTGTGCTGTATGTTCACTCTGTGTTCGTATGGGTTGCGTGGATTAAGGTGCTCCGGTTTTCTCCCTCAGTCCAAAAACATACTGGTAGGTTAATTGGCTTCTCTTGGAAAATTGCATTAGTGTGAGTGCCTGCATATTTGTGTCTGTGTGTTCCCTGTAATGGACAGCTGTCCTGTCCAGGGTGTATCCGGTCTTGCGCTCATTGCTTGCTGGGATAGGTTCTGGCTCCCCAATGATCCTGAATTAGATGCTGTGGTTAGAAAACGGATGGATAGTTATCAGTGGGTGACGCAGTGGTGTGACAGTTAGAGCAGATCCTGTGTCCTCAGTTTGATTCAAGGCTTGATGCCTTTTGTGTGGAGTTTGTATATTTGCCCTGTGTACATGCACTTTTTCTCCAGCTTCTCCAATTTGTTCCCACCTTCCAAAGAAATGCTGGCTGTGTGTCCTTGTGTTTGCCCCACAATGAACTGTTGTCCTATCTGGGGTATCTGCTCGGGTGTCTGCTGGGTTTGCAGCAATATCCTGTAGGACAAATCTTGGGTAATACTATGGATAATGGATGGTCCTTCACAAACATCGGGCAATCGGACATTGTTGTTAACAAACATTAATTGCTGGACATCCTTTTTAAACGGAAAACGCTTCTTTAAAAGGTTATAATGAAGAAATGGTTATATTTTTATAGTGGCGCACTGTGCTTTATTGTTTCATATGAGACTGCTCCTTTTGCTTTCCTTAAATCTGTTGAGGTGAACCTCAGATTTGCAAGTCTTTTCAGCCTCATTTCCACTCTTTGAATTCCTGTCTTCTTCTGAGCTACTGTATGTTATATGAATATTGTTTTTATACCATTTCTGAAGTTTTGACACACCATGAAATGTAAATGCTGAGATGAAACAAGCACATGCTGACAAAACAGTGTTATTTTATAAATTAAATATATCAAGAATTTTGGCTTTCCCCAGTACATTCTTGAAAAAAGATAAGGTGGTGAAAAAATGTTTCTCTATGTAAAGTATGAAGAGCAGCATTATATGGGCTGGTCAGGATATATGACTGATTTGCTTGTTTTTGTTTGTTTCATGTAGTAAAAAAACAGTGGGAAAAAAGAACAGCATTTGTAACATGATAAATCCAAAACATCCGTCTTCACATGTAAAAAATGTAAATGCCAATGTAAATATACTGTATAATGTCTACATTGGATGTTTAATATTATTTGGATTTTTTTGGTCTTAGTTATACATTGTAATTGGTAGTATTATCATTTTATTCTCTGATTAGCTCATTATTATCTGATTAGGTGCACAGGTTTATTGGTAGTTATGAACAGATGAAACCACTGTGTTACTTCAAAGTTCTAAGGAAGATTGTTAGCTTTTTAATCTTCTTATTCAATATAAATATGAGTTGTATATTTTAGTGTAGTGTATAGGTGTTTTTCATTTACAGTAAATTACAAATTTAAACATCTCTGTGTTTTAAATAAAAATATATATGGAAAATGGTAACTTTTTTAAATGACAAGCTATAGATTGCTGTTCACAAATGTATATTTTTGTTATGTACAAACTGATTTTTTGGGACTATAATTTCACTTCATATATGATGGAATCTACATTGATTTTGGTCATTTAGAAACCAATCATGTTTTCATTGTAAAAATGTTGTTTTCATTGACCATATAGACTTCCTCTTATTGAAGAATTATGTCTTATTTCATGCTATACAGCATACTGAAAAAACTTCTGATAGAGTGAGGTGGTTGGTTCTGTGTAGTGCTAGATAAATCTGATCTGGCAATGCCAGTTAGAATCGTTGTTTTTTCTTGTTAGCAGTCACTGGATATAGCAGTCCTTCAGGAGACACAGAAATGTGGTTTCAAGAGGAATGTACGTTGGACAGGAAAGGTTTGCAACATAGACGTGCTATGCCAGCTGTCCAAAAAGGAGCCGCTAACCACAGTAACAAAATCTTCCACTCCAGTAGCTATTCCTAATATTGAATTCAGCTGTTGTAATAAGGGGCTGAGTGTGAACCAAAGGATTAATGAATTGTTGGTGCTCTGTGAATAGGCAGGCTCTCGGTCATTAGGCATGCGATAATGCAAATATGTTAATTCCATGACAAATACTAAGCTGCTACTGTAGTTGGAATAGATTCATTTGGACCGGCATTGACTGCGGGATTAGCAGGCCATACTGCAATTTTTTTCTTTCTTATGAAGTTGTGAAAACTGCTATAAAGTGACTAAGAAGTTCAAAACCTGTGAATCATTCTACTCTAGTGAAGGAAATCTTTGTTAGCAGCAGTAACACTTCTTTATCATCATTAGTTAAAAGGTATTTAAAGGAAGGCAGTCTATGCTTTGATTTTTCCCCTGAAAATAAACAAGAAACTAGAAAGACAAGTTGGTGTACTTGCTTTCCAGGGAAATTCATCTCTACGTAAGAGTCTCACCTTAAAGAAGAATCATGAAAAGACCTAGAGAACAACAGGACCATTGCTAGGTATTATCTCTGGGCAAGACCATTATTTTTAAATGTAATTGTTTCTTGGTGTTCACCATTTATTCTGTGTAAAATCCCCCAAACCCCTGAAAACCGTACATCTCTTGTACACAACCTGCATACCACAAACAGAATAAATTTCAATAGAGGATTGCCCCATATCTTAATTTCTTCATATTGCAGTGCTCTGCATTATTTCCATAATTTATTTTTCCAGTTTCTGTGTGCTGTGGGAAGACATAAGGCTGAGTTAACATTGATGATTTAATAACACTTTAGTTTAGGGGCTGCCAATGATACCTTATAAATGTATATTAATGAGCAATTTGTCAATTTAAACATGTACAGTATAGTATTTTTATTAAGCATGTTATTAGTAATTGTGAAATCAGTTGCTTCTTGGTTATTAGTGATGTATTGATGCTTTTGTAATGCTAAAAGTAATGAATAGGAGTAATTTGCAGCCATTACAGTATTATAGGTTTTTAAGAACATAGGCAGACTTCAGCTGTTTCTGGGAAAATGAGGACTTTTGCTAGAAATATTAAAAGCATATTCCCTTATTTTTATCTTTTGTTATGGATTGGATTGTTATGTTGGATTTACAGAAACTGAGCAGATTCTTAATACTGTAGGTATGCATAGTCTTGGAAAGTAATTAGCTTTTTTACCCTTGCATTTCCCTTTCCTTTTGTAATCCCTTACACAAACATCTTTATCTGCTTTGTTTTCCTTTACTATATGCTCTCCAGTACTAAAGACTGAGCAAGGGACATTCTGTTATTTGAGCATGAAATGATTGATGTGGATTAACTTGCTTTTAATATTGAGCTGTACACAGTTCATTATGGAGCATAGATGTGATTTTTTGCTTTCTACCGTATGTTAGCATTTCGTTAAAAGTGTGGTATTATCTAAACCAGAAATGGATCTGGATAATTTTTACGATTTCAAAATGTAAAAAATTAATTTCAAAAGAGTGATGTTGATGATATAGTGAAGATATAATGATAAAGTGAGGAAACAGGATAAAGAGCAGATGTATAATGATGTAGAAGAGTGAGTTCAAGAGTGCAGTAAATGATACAGATCTTTCTTTCTGTTTAGATGATTTTGTAAAATAAACACCTACTTGTAAAAGTTCTGGAACACTCATTTTATTGTGTTTCAGTGTTATAAATACTATCAAGAAAAATGTAATTTGACACAATGACACAGTATTGTCTTTTCTATGCTGGAAAACCGCCATTTAAGTATTCTTGTAAAAAAATCACTAACCTAAAGCCTTAAACTCCAATTTGGTTGCTGATAACCTTTTGTTTGATCTGCAGGAAGAGAGCCTCTGTTCAGAGCACTAAATAGAGAAGAGTTAGTTACTTAGCTAACTAAAGTATCTAAGTCTAAGCCTGAACTTAAGTACCTAAGAAATCAAGTCCAGAAAAACAAAGTTTCAATGTAGATATGTTGATTAATAAAAATGTTGTAGGTAGCTGTACAACATGACTGTAAACTAAATATAATCTAATTTATTATGTAATATAATAATAAACAATATAAATATTGGTGCTTGTTTATTCGCACCATCTAGATTGTCATCTTGTTTTTTTTGCGTAACAGCTTTGGCCTGATTGTAATGTTGTCAATATGTTTTTTTTTTGACTCTGTCATTCTTTTCTTTAAAAAAACGGGATAAGCATAATATGTATCATTTTTTCAAATGTAGCAACTAATATGTTATAATACATGTGTATTATTAAAAAAAAATGAAATATTTAAAATAACTAAGGATTTTGCTACCAGGGGGTTGGTATAAACAAATGCTGCTAGTACTCTTCAGCATTCTTCATAGATGAGCATATGCCTAAAACACTTACATCACTGAAAGTTAATGGACCTCCATTCCAGTGAAATAATTAGTAGTGGTATTATTATGGTTGTTGTTTTTTAAAAAATGTAGCTAAACAAAACATTTTTTTTGTTTCTGTGTCTTTTCAGCCGTGCTATCAAAACCAATCAGGACCTTCTTCCGGAAACTCCCTGGACCCACATCTTCTATGACGACTTCTGGGGAACTTTGCTCACTCACAGTGGCAGCCACAAGTCCTACCGTCCACTCTGCACTCTCTCTTTCCGCCTTAACCATGCTTTAGGGGGGCTGGACCCGTGGGGTTACCACCTGGTCAACATCATCCTGCACTGTGCTGTCACAGGCCTCTTCACCACCTTCTCCCGTCTGTTGCTCGGCGGCGGCTACTGGACATTGATAGCAGGCCTGCTCTTCGCATCTCACCCCGTGCACACAGAAGCTGTGGCAGGGATTGTGGGTAGGGCAGATGTGGGTGCTGCTCTGTTTTTCCTTCTCTCTCTGCTCTGCTATATGCGCCACTGTTCCCTAAGGAGACACTCTGGCTGCTGCTGGCGCTGGCTGCTGGGCAGCCTTGTGTGTGCAGCCTGCAGCATGCTGTGGAAAGAACAGGGGGTGATGGTCTTGGCAGTGTCAGCGGTTTATGACGTCTTTGTCTTTCACCGACTCAAATTGCATCAGGTCATTTCTCTTATATACAAGGTAAGCAGTTTCATGTCCTGTCTGTTCTGCGTGTTTTTCTTCTTTAAATCTTCGGCAAACAGGGCATGGACTATTTTACATGCATATGGAATTTATGGGAATGATAGTTTACTATGCACTGTTGGTCTTCCATGCAACTCCAGAAAGCACTTCTGAATAATTTATACATTACTATGCATTCCAATAATTGTTTAATTATTTAGATAATATCTTTATGTGGTTTAGTTTAAAATAACCTAAATATCATGTACTGTATATATGCCTGCTATGAGTGCACTCCAAAGTAGTTGTGTAGTACAAATTGTCATATTTCCCAGTGTCAGGTGTCTCCAGCAGAGTCTGTATGATACCCAGGACTTGACTACTAAATATGGATGAGTTCATCACTGTTTTGTGTTTTGTCACATTTTGTATTATCTCACTGATACAGTTTGTGGGTATCACAAAACACTCAGTTAAGTACGGCACAGTTCAGCTCCCCCACTTTGAAGAGGCTCAGAACCCAGTGCAGTTTATATTGTACCCTCAAAAATAAAAATACGAGATGCAGCTGTCATGCCCACTGCTGATATAGTATATTGACTCCTTGTGTCTACCAAAATCACCATTCTTCAGCTTTCAGCACTGTAATTTATCTTTAACTGCATGCTAAAAGCACTCTGTAAAATGCATTTCTTCATCTTATCATTCTTTCATCAGGTTAGGGCCATCTGCTGTGAGAAACAATAAAAGATAGCTGACGTCTGTAGTGAAAGGTCTTCATTAAGATAAATTAGCCTTTCATCCCATATCCTACAGTAGACTGTTTTACCTTTGATTTAACATAAAGTAAGATGAGCAAAGAAATCCATCATCTTGGACAGTGTAGAAAGCAGAAAGCTTATTTGTGATTAAGAATGTCTTCACTTCAGGATTGAAACCACTGTGCACAGATAGTACTTTTCAATGAGAGGGAAATCTTAAAGGAGTGTCTTCCATTCACTTTTCCTGTGGTTTTCATTTTGGTTGACTCAGAATAGTTTTTAAGTGAAGAGTGAATTAGTTAGTTTATTATATAGCATTCATTAGTATAAATTAATCATTTGTATTTTTAATTTTTCATGTTACTTACAGTACATGAAGTAAGCTTTGGATGCATCCATTTTAGGGACAAAAAGACACACAGCTGTGAAAATGTACAAAAGTACAATGAAATCCCAAAATTCCATTTACGTTCAGTTTTTGCCAAATGAACACTGAACACTTCTGCAAAAAACTGGACCAAGAGGACTTAACCAATCAGTTGCTGTGCACATCTCATTGTGAAAATATAAGCTTCTGCCTGTCAGATACGATCATACTACTGCCATGATATAAGCCTTTTCTGCAATTTTGTCCTCTGGAGTATTGCCCATCCATTGATAATGGCAGACAGTGCTTTTAATAGGCTGTCATTCTCTTCTCGGGTGAAAGGCGGTGGATTTCAGGAGGAGGGTGTGGAGTAGGTATTACTGTTGGCAGATTTGATTTGCAGATTTAAAGCACATAATTGGAATTCTGTCTCACAGACTGACCTTTCCATTAGTCCCTGCTATCTTCACAAATGTGAAAAGGCTGTTTTACCTGTTTGCTGGAGGTGAGATTAAAATTAATTCATTTTGGAAAAACGTAAATGACATACATTTGTTCATGCTCCTTCATTAATATTACAAGCATGAGTAGATTTATATGTATATATTTCAAAGCAAGACTACAGCTGCCCTTTGAAGGCAGCTTTTTTAGTTGATAACAGGCCTAGTTAAGATGTTCTAGGTTCCTGTAGCCCTTTATATAAAAAGTGCTATTTCATAGTTCTAACTGCCCTTGACCTTTCTGTCCACTTATGTTCTCTCATTCTTTTCCACTGTTGATTCTTGAGAATATCATCTCAATAGAGTTCTCTAAATCCGGAAAGGAACTAATTACTTAAATTCTCTTTAAACTCTTCTCTTTTCAAGACTAAAGTATTTTAACATTTGAAATAAGCTTTAAGAGCATTATTTTGCTTAATTATATTTTATTGTTATGTTACTTGTACAAACATACTATTTTTATATCTTTATGTCCTGTACTGTACTTATGTTATACAGGTTTGATTGGGGAGCTGCATCAGTATGTGATGGCAGCAAAGGTGCAAGTAAAGGTTAAGTCCACACCTAAAAGTAGCATCAGAATAAAATGAGAGTAACAGAGTAACTTTACATTTTACATTACCTTACGTTCTCACCCTCGCAACTGCAGAAGACTCAACAGTCAAAACATAGTTTTTTAATGGAACAAGTAATAGGTTTATTCCATACTGAAAAAAAGAAGAAAGAGAACACAACGTTTCGGCCGTGCACACACCTGAAGAAGGCTCCACGGCCACAACATATTACTTGTTCCTTTGCAGCCTACGCATGCTGACGCAGCTACCCACCTGAACTACTATAGTTTCTTAATTCTACTTTTCAATGTGGAATGTAACTTTACTGGCTTATATTTTTATACAGCAGACTTCGAATAACAGCAAATAAATGCAGTTTGAATACATGATCCCATCTATAGGTTGCTTTTGATTACCACAGATGACTGTAGTTAAAGTAGACCTATTTATTTCAGGTTACCATGAACCATGAATTACAGTAGCATTGCACTCACTACAAACCAAACATAATTAAATGATGTGAGACACTTGCAGGTATTTTAAGTCATGCTTCATGGACATTTTTGCCAGGGGTGGCACAGAATACATTGTAGCTTTTCCAGTTAAACATATCTTTAGAGCTGATATAAAAGGACTGTGAATGTTTTTTGTTTCTTTTTCGCAAAAGAAGTGTGCCGGAGAGTATGACATAGAGCATAATCAGCAAGCATGTTGCGAGTTATATTAATAATGTTCAAAACTGAAGCTTTGGATATGCATGAGAATTGTAGCTTCTCTTGTGTTTCAATATTGAAGAGTCGGCATAGTCTTACAAAATACTGTACAGTGTTTGTACAGTATTGAAAAAAGATACAGTTTATATGCTACAGTATGTACTGTAAATGGCTATGTATATCACAAAGTTTTATACGGTACAGTAAGTGTAATGAGAATTCGGTGGCACAGACCACTGTTACAAAAATAAATGACCCCCCCCTCCATAGTAGAGTTTGTTACTGTCTAGGTAGTGTGATGCTGGGTTTGTTCTATGCTTGTGATTAACCATGATCAAGTCTTGACAGTTGTAGAACCTAGATGCACAAGTCACATTGGTGCTGTCATTCAGATCGAACTGGCTGATCGACTGTCTGTCGCTAAAGTTGCTGCAGAAACGAAGGAGTTTGTAACAGGGCTCAGTGGTATTGAGCATGTTGCTGAAATGAAATCAGCCCCTTGAATCCTCCGGCAGCAGAAGACCTGGTGCTTTGGTTGAGTGGAGTGTGCCATTGTCTAGAGATTAAGACATTGTGCTCTGACTCTCCTGCAACTGTGATTCAGTCCTGGCAGGGGCAGAGCAGAGCTGCACTCATCACATGAGTTTAAGATTAGCACAAAGCTAAAAAAGAACCATAATGAGAGCGGTCTAATTAGCATGTCTGGGTGATTCCACCCAGAATAAACGTCCGCATACTTTACTTAGGTATAAAATGGGAAGTTATGCTAATTAGTTTGTGATTATAGATAAATTACCAAGTTGCTAAAGGAAAGCTGTACCAAATGCTAAATTATAACATTTCCTTTTTGACTTCAGAAAAGTAAAATCCTCTATTAAAAAATCAGTTTTTTACATGAGACACTGTGCTGTCATTTTAGTTTTTGTGTATTTTATTTATTTTGTTATGTTTTAAATTTTGTTAGGTTTTGTTACTTATGTTTACTTTGTTCTCTTTGATTTAGTCTTTGGAAGATTCTTTGAAAGACATTTTGTGATATGTCTACAAAGAAGGCTATTACAGATGTAGATATCGGCATTTCTATAGGCATGCCTTTATTGATATGTCTCTAAACAGGTATGATCGAACATTGTTCTTGCCAGCAGTGTTTTAGCACAGGATTGTGCAATACCCACAAACTAATAAATGAAATAGTCTCTAGTGACTCCTTCATTAACTCTTCCAGAATCATTAATCATAAACTGATGACACCATGCTCAATTACAAAAGAATCAGTCACTCTTTTGAGGGGTTGAGTGGCTCAGCTGGTCTGTGTATGTCAATTTGATACCTGGAAGCAGAAACTGGTGTAGCTTTTCAATCAGTAGTTATATGTTTGATGATCACATTTTTATTTTTGTTCCAAGATCTTTCCTTTTATGCATTTTAACACCTGTTTTATCCTTAGAGGATCATGGTAACCTAGCAATCACAAGACTATACATTAATCCAGTGCATCACAAGGCACATATACGTGCATTCTTGCATAGTGGTGGGCAAAATAGAGATGATGATTAATGTCAGCTGCACGTGTATGTATTTCTGTTGTTAGTATGATACTTTCCCATTGTATAACTACTGTGTGAATTGTTAATCTGTTTGTATTCTCTTTCTATTCTATCCTTTTGGGAAGGTATATGAAAGTACAGTCTGTCATGGCTACACATGGTTTAATTGTTTTCAGTATGGTGCAGCCTTAAGATGCCATATCCCTGATAGGGATTGTCTGGAACTCTAATGCACACATAAACTAAGGGCTGTTTATGATTGTTTGTTGTGTCTCATTAAGCATTCTTTGTCACCAGTGTAAAGCTGGAAGACATTTTTATATCAGTCTTGGCTTATTCCTGTCAAAAAACTATTTTTGACATCTGCTACATGGATACACTAGGCCAAATAGCTTTAATCAAGGATTGTTACAAGTAAATATGTATCAACATTTTTAGTTGTGTATTTATCATATTGTTTATGTAGAATATGCCACAAGAGCCAGCATGCATTCATTTCAGTGAAGGAATTCCTCCAGGGATTAGTAAGGGTTCAGGGTATGAAATGTTTACTGATACAGTCTTCACCCTTCTGTC